TCCCTGGGTAGCACAAAGAATAATGTGTTTGGACTGATGATTTGGGTCGGGTGGTCTGTGGCCCACTCTTCGTGACTCTTGTTCCCCATGAAGTTCACTGCTTGCCTTTTCTGCAGGAATACCTGAGATTTCTCCCAAGAATAACATCTGAATGCATGAAACAGCTTCCCAGGGGCCTCCATGGCAGATGCCTCTAATTTAAGGATCTCTCAAAGGGGAGTTTATTCTCACTCACGTTGACATGTTATTATTGCTGCTAAAAGTTGTCATTTCTTTATTTTTGTCTCTTCCAATTATTTTAATTACCTGCTAGAATAGTCCCACATGCCAGAAATGTGCTAAAAATGCAAGAGAGGTAGACAGGATGTCAAGCATATACCAGAAATATTTGTCAACTCCTGGACCCCAAAGAGCAGAGAGAGCACAGGTGGGACTTAGGTTGACAACAGCTCAATCCAGCCACTGAGAAAGACCATGAAGAATAAACAACCCACAGTTAGAACCCAACTTTCCAAACAACAATCAAATTCTACGTGCATAAAGAAAGAGGGCAGGAGTCGGCTCTGTGGCGGCGCTGTGGTGTAGCAGGTAAAGCTGCCACCTGCAGTGCCAGCATCCCATATGGGCACTGGTTTGAGTCCCAGCTGCTCCACTTCCAAGCCAGCTCTCTGCTATGGCCTGAGAAAGCAGTGGAAGATGGCCCAAGTCCTTGGGCCTCTGCACCCATGTGGGAGACCCGGGAGAAGTTCCTGGCTCCTGGCTGTGAATCAGCTCAGCTGATTGGGGAGCCATTTGGGGAGTGAGCCAGTGGATAGAAGACCTTTCTCTCTCTCTCTCTCCCCCTGCCTTTCTGTAACGCTGCCTTTCAAATAAATGCATACATCATTAAAAAAAAGAATGAGGGTCAAGTGTCAGTTTCTTAATATTAACCAGAGGACAATTTTTCCTCTTCTCCCATGCATTGGGGACCACAGTGGGAAGTCACCATCTGTGGCTGCCTGGAATATTCCTTCTCCTCCTCCCTCCGCTCCAGAAAAGCATGGTCTATCCACTGACACCAATGAAACAAAATAACATTGGTTTGTTTCTCAGAACTCAAACCCATTGAGAGTTCTGAATGGTGCCTTCTCTGACCACCTTACAAAGATGAGGACTGAGCAAACGGTTGTGCTAGTTATGTGGTCAAAGTCTCTTCATCATCAGATTGCTTATCCCCATTACATGTTTCACCATAAAATATTAAAGTCAATGTAGTAATAAAACTCTAAGGGTATGCAGATGATACAAGCATACCGCAGAAAGACGTAAGTTGAAAACAGAATCCTACCACCCGAACACAATCAGGGCTAGCAACGTGATATTTACTTATTTAATTTTATCGTTTTTTAAGTTTATGTCCCACCTCATCCTGTGAATTTTGCATGGGAGAGATAGTCTGCAGGTACACTGTGAGGTAAACTTAAAATGTGGTGTTTTGGGGCTGATGTTGTGACACAGTGGGTTAAGCCACTGCCTGCCTTGCCAGCATCCCTTATGGGCACCAGTTTGAGTCCTGGCTGCTCCACTTCTGATCCAGCTCCCTGCTAATACACCTAGGAAAGCAGCAAAAGACGGCCAAGTGCTTGAGTCCCTGCACCCACATGGGAGACCTGGAAGAAGCTCCTGGCTCCTGGGTTCCTTGCATCCAGATGGAAGATTCTCTCTCTCTCTCTCTCTCTCTCTCTCTCCCTCTCTCTCCCTCTCTCTCCCTCTCTCTCCCTCTCTCTCCCTCCCTCTCCCTCCCTCTCCCTCTCTCTCCCTCCCTCTCTCTCCCTCTCTCCCTCTTCTTTCAAATAAATCTTTTGTAAAAAGAACGTGGTGTCTTGCCTATGGCTACCCCCTTGAAAGCATGTTCCTATGCTTTTGCACAATACTACACCCCATTGGGTCTCTTTTTTCCCTCTGCCACATAAATATCCATCAATGGGGTGTTCTCAGCTGAAGATTACCCCCGCTGTATTTTTCATGAACAGCCAGTGCTTCTTCCCTCTAAGAACCGTGACCCTGACCACCAGCACGACAGTGTCTGCAGGTGTGCTTGATGGCAGGTAGACAGATTTCAATGGTCTGACATTTCAAGTACATTCCAGAACAATCCAGCCCCAGAGAGAGAGAGAAAGAGAGAGGTTGGTTATAACCTTTAAGGTTGTCTGTGCCTCTTCTTCATGGGGTCTTAGGGTGCCCCGTGGATGTCTCATCTCTGCCCTGACATCCAGACTTGAAGGTGGAAGCACACGTTTGGAGCAGACTTGGCTAAGAAACCTGCCCATCTCTTCCCGTCTTAAGGCCGCCGGCGGAACTCCCAGGTACCTCGGTGTGAGGCCTTTCCTGGGTGATTATCCCGGGGAGGGATTTAGGAACTGCAGGGCTGCCCCCCCCCTTACTGAACGGGTCAGCACTTTAGGAAGGTGGAGCGCTGTTTGCCGATGTCCCCTTCGCAGAGGCCAGGGTCACGGACACGGATCTCCCCTGGGGACGCAGAGTGAACCTGCCACAGGCGCCCTTTGCCGCTACCCGGGCTCTGTGCTCGCCCTTTCCCGGAGAGGAAATCCGGGAGCAGGGCTCAGCCTCCGCGTCCGGAAGATCCGAGCTCCGGGAAGGATCAGAAGCCCCCAGGCGCGCCGCACAGGGGCAAGGAACACGGGCCCCACGCTCCCCGCGCGAACCCCGCAGCCTGCGTGGCCGCAGTGCCATCTTTGCCCCTACGGCCTTACTATCCCCGAGCTAGGCGGGATGCCTGTTTGAGTTTGCGCAGAACTTCAGGTTGAGGGGGGGCTGGGGTGGAGGGTGCGGTGCGGAAAGCCAAAGAAATGCCCTAGCCCTCCAGGGCATTTGCGGGGCGACCAGGTGCGGGCGCTGCGTGGGTCGGGGAGAACTGGATCGGGTCCCCGAGAACCGCGGCCGACAGGGGGCGCCTTGTCACTGCGGAAGCTGGGGCGCAGCTCTGCCCAGCGTCCCCAGAGCCCCACCGCTCAGGGTACTGGGGCTGGGGGGTCGGAGGGTCTACAGAACTGCCCTGAAGGAGGGTAGCGCCCTCTCCTCCACGGGGGGGGGGTGGGGTGGGAGGGCAGCTGATACTTCAACCCAGGCAATCTGACATGGATGCAGGCTTCCCAAGAGGCATCTCAACCACTATGCTGAAGCCCTGGCCTAGTCTGGCAGCGTTTAGAAGCATGGGAACAGGCCCTGGGCTGCCCTGCCAGCATACCTTGGAGAGGACGAGGCGGTCATTGTCTGGGTTCTCCGGGTCTGACTGTCTGTATCTCATCGTGTAGAAGAAGAGCACAGACATGATCTCAGCAGCGCTGCTGCACGATGTGGGGTGGCTGAAAGACAGACATGACACACAGATCATTTCTCCAGGCAAGTGCAACACAATGTACAGCATGTGGCCTTCTCAGACCAGAAGCAACAGTCGTTTCTCCCAGCCTAGAATGATTCCCGCCAGGGGCCACGGCCTCCCAAGTTTGCAGCCTTGAAGGAAGCATCAAAGCCCAGTA